CAGTGGCATGGTCTCGACTCACTGCAACCTCCGCCTCCCAGGTTCAAGCGATTCTCCTGCCTCAGCTTCCCAAGTAGCTGGGATTACAGGTGCCCGCCACCACACCTGGCTAATTTCCATATTTTTAGTAGAGATGTGATTTCCCCATGTTGGTCAGGCTGGTCTTGAACCCCTGACCTTGTGATCTGCCCACCTCGGCCTCCCAAAGTGCTCGGATTACAGGCCTGCGCCACCGCACCCGGCCTCTCCACTCTTTTTAGGTGGAGAGGAGTAATGGTTGCTTTCAGTTAGGAGGGACTCCCATGTACCCAACCCATTTGTGTAAATTTCTTCCTTCAGAGTTCTTCAAATCAGCATCACCATTGTTAAAGGCCTCCCACGTGGTAATAATTGTGCTACAGGGTTTTACGAACATGAAGTTTATGTTTGGCTGAATTAACCTCCTTGCTGTGGCACAAGGGGGCCATAGGTGTTTTCACCAATTATGAAGCAGGTTCACTGTGCAATGGCTACCAACTTTTCTGACTACAACGAGACCAAACACATTCATACATAAATTCCATGAAGTGAATTTATTACTTACAAATAGCAAACAAAAGACAACAGAAGTCTAGAATTCAATATGAACCGCTACCACAAGATCAGGAAAGCTACCCAGAGCAGATGGATGGCGTTTTGACTGTAAATGCTTCACTTGCACTACAACTGAGGGAGCCCAGAAAGCAGCCCACCTTGGGTTGTCTCCCAAGATGTGGTTTGCTGGACACAAGCGTTAAAGGCCATTCTGTTTCGAGCAGGGACTATAACAGAGCCTGGGCTGTTCTGACCAATGTCACCTGATTATCAGGATATTGCATTCCCAGCATATCATACAGTTATCTTGAGAACTACCAGTAAGAAAGGGAGGAAAATGGCCCTGCACCTTTACAACTGAAGGATCAGGATGTTTGTTGTGACAGAGGCACAGACAGTAGCGACAGAGTGTTCTTGTGAGCCATCTACTAGTTCTCTTGACTGGAGCGTGGCACCTGACTGCTTTTCTCTTTCCTTTCAATGGAAACTGTTTCAGAATATTTTGAATATTTTGAGTTTCTACATCTATAGAGTTGCAGCACATGATCACTGGCAGTGTAGACTCTCTGCATGGTTAAAGGAAAGAGTTCAGGAGCCCATCAACCCACATTGGAGGAGACCACCTAATCCTCCAGAGAGTGCCACTCCATCTTCCTGGGGTTGCTTCCATATGCAGTAAGGCCATTATGTCTAAGGCCGTCAAGACTTGCAGTGCGAAGATTAGACTTTTGACATGCTGATAAGCAGCAGTGATAAGAAAAGCCCACACACTGGCTAGGAATTTTTCAATGAAAGCAGCTGAGACATTTCTGCATATGCTTCAGTAGGGGCTAATATCAAACTCTTTCTTTCTACTTTCTTTACTCATCAGTGCCTGAACCATGAGGCACCATAGATGTACACCTCATCAGGAGGGTGTATGGGACAGCAGCAAGGGGAGCAGTAGCACAAGAAACAAACAAGGCCACTACTTCTGCCTACATAATAACTATTGTCTTGGTACAAGAATTAATAATGTTCACATGGCTGCCCTAAGCATACAGAGATGGTGACCAGAGTAGATGCAGGGACTACACAGATACAGCCTGATTCTTGCTAATTAGGACTTAAGTGTTGGCTTATGTGCTGTGCTTTTGTGCATTAATAAGCCAGGGCCTCAAAACTGCCTGCTAAGCACAGGCCAAATGTCATGCTGGGGTGCAATTAAACATTCATGTCTAGGAGATGAGAGCATTTTAGTGTGGAAGAAGATGGCAACACGTGAAGACCACAAAGACCAAAGGGAAGGCCCATCATCAGCTCACGGTTCTGACCCAGGTGACTGCTGATGTGTTACGGAACCGTCAGCCGACAGCAGGTAGGTCAAGTTGAGCAGGTATCCTGCATGAGGGCTGGTCCATTCCATTTGTGTTGCCAATTGTTTCAATAGCGTCTCATGCACCCTACTGGTGAGGAAGGAAGGAGCACCCTACGTTTACTGGCACCGTTAAACACATAACATCTATTACTAAACAGATAAACCTGACATCAGTTATTAATTACATATAGGAGGATGGTGTAAGCTCCCACAGGCCCAAACAGGGATTAACTTGGGAGCAGAGAGTGGTATAGCATTAAAAAACTGAGGATGTTCCTTTTTTTTTTTAAGACATAATCTCGCTCTGTCACCCTTGCTGGAGTGCAGTAGTGTGATCTTGGCTCACTGCAAGCTCCGTCTCCCAGGTTCACGCCATTCTCCTGCCTCAGTCTCCCTAGAAGCTGGGACTACACGCACCCACCACCAAGCCCGGTTAATTTTTTGTATATTTAGTAGAGATGGGGTTTCACCATGTTAGCAAGGATGGTCTCGACCTCCTGACCTCGTGTTCCACCCGCCTCAGCCTCCCTAAGTGCTGGTGCTGGGATCACAGGTGTGAGCCACCATGCCCGGCCAAGGATGTTCCTTTGCTCCTACAGGAGTATGTGATTGGTTTGTCTGTTGGCTGGTAGGGAACTGAATCATGTGACACTGACTGGTAAGACTGTAATACTGTAAAATATAATATATAAACTATCATACCATAATGGTGTAATACTATCTACTACAACACCAAAGGCATCGATGAAAAGCCCAACGGTATCATATGTGACTGAGAGACTGAATGCTTCCTCCCTCAGATTGGTTACAACATATTGTCCTATCACAGGTCTCTCTCCTTCATTCAAAATGAACAATCCAAATAACAGACAGAAATAATAAAGAATAAAGGGCAACAAATGCAAAGAACTCATGAGATGATACTCTATGGTAAACTTTATGTACTTAGGAATTAATACCAACTCATTATTAGCAAAAAATAAACATCTTTACATCAAGAGTAGTTTTTCCTTTAATAAAAAGGTGGAATGTGTATAATGGACAAGGGATAATCAAAATTTGCCAAATGAGGCTAGTAAGACAATCCCAACAATTCACAATCATTATTCACTGGTCCATTAATCACAGGACAATACATACAAATGAAACTTACCTGGCTGGGCGCAGTGGCTCATGCCTGTAATCCCAGCACGTTGGGAGGCCGAGGCGGGCAAATCATGAGGACAGGAGTTCAAGACCAGTCTAGCCAACATGGCGAAACCCTGTCTCTACTAAAAATACAAAGAATTAGCTGGACATAGTGGCGGGCGGCTGTAGTCCCAGCTACTTGGGAGGCTGAGGCAGGAGAATCGCTTAAACCCAGGAGGCGGAGGTTGCAGTGAGCCGAGATCGTACCACTGCACTCCAGCCTGGGCAACAAAGTGAGACTCCACCTCAAAAAAAAAAAAATAATGAAATTAAAAAAAAAAAACTTACCTACATATTAGAAAAACATCAAAATTCAACCATGAATCCAGCACATTATCAAATGAACAGACAAAACTTCTACCAACAAACTTAAGAAAATATCGTTATCTATGAAATTCAAGTACCACTGCTTAAAGAGCATTTACAGAACTCTCACCTCAAGGTTTCCCTGCAAAACAAGGTGAAATGCATACTCAAGACTCTAAGAATGAGCCACTGATACAAACAATGTACTTGTAACTTGTGTAACATTTCATACATTTTTTTCAAGCATTGCACGATAATTAATTTGCATCAGGCTTTCCAAATTAGAAAAGCTTCACTTATACAACTTCTTTCCAGTGGGAGTTTTCACATGACTTTTCAAGTAAATGTTAAAACTGAAAATATTCTTGCAGTTTCTAAACTATTAGAGTTTTAATCCTGTGCACGTTCTTGTATTTACAAGGTCCAGCCAGCTACAGTGTGCATTTTCATATGTCCTTGAGTGGGTATGAGAGAAATGAAACATTCCCACATTCTGGACATTCATAGGGTTTTTCTCAGGAGTGAGCTGATGTCTTCAAATGGAACTAACACAACTGAAGGCCTTACCACAAATTTAAATTCAAAAGGCTTTTCTCCACTCTGAGTCCTCCCAAATCTTCAAAAACAGGAAAATCTCAAGGCTGGACCACATTTCCTACATTCTTAAGGTTTCTCTGCAGTGTGAGCTCTTTCATGTTTATGAGAGAATGGGAAAGAGTAAATGTTTCACCACATTTCTTACATTCAAGGGGCTTTATTTATTTATTTATTGAGATGGAGTCTCACTCTGTCACCAGGCTGGAGTGCAGTGGCACAATCTCGGTTCACTGCAACCTCCACCTCATGGGTTCAAGTGATTCTCCTGCCTCAGCCTCCTGAGTAGCTGGGATTACAAGCATACGCTACCACACCCAGCTAATTTTTGTATTTTTAGGAGAGACGAGGTTTCACTAGTTGGCCACAATGGTCTCGATCTCCTGACCTCGTGATCCGCATGCACAGGGCTTCCCCCCAACCCCCTGTGGCTTTTTATGTCCTTGAAAAAGAACTAAGACAACTGAAACGTACCACCATGCCCAGCTAATTATTTTCTTTTTTTTTTTTTTTTTTTTGAGACGAAGTCTCGCTCTGTCGCCCAGGCTGGAGTGCAGTGGTGCGATCTCGGCTCACTGCAAGCTCCGCCTCCCGGGTTCACGCCATTCTCCTGCCTCAGCCTCCCCAGTAGCTGGCGTGAGCCACCATGCCTGGCACTATTTTATTTTTTGTAGAGACAGGGTTTCACCATGTTGCCCAGGTTGTTTCACATTGTTTTAATCCAGGCTGGTTATGAACTCCTGGGCTCAAGCAATACACACACCTTGGCCTCCTAAAGTGCTGGGATTATAGGCTGAGTCACCACACCCAGCCTCTATATCATGACTTCTTTCATGGCGAGTAAGGTGACTGGAACGAGTGTAGGCGTTACCTCATCTCTTACATTCATAGGGTTTTTCTCCAGTATGAATTCTTTCATGGAGGTGAAGGGAACTGAGGCGACTGAAGGCTTGGTCACATTGTTTACATTCATAGGGTTTCTCTCCAGTATGAGTACTTCTATGGTTACAAAGGGAACTCAAACGACTAAAGGCTTTGCCACATTGTTTACATTCATAGGGTCTCTCTCCAGTATGAATGCTTCCATGGTAATGAAGGGAAGTGGAACAGCTGAAGGCTTTATCACATGTGGTACATTTATAGGGTCTTTCTCCAGCGTGAATCCTTTCATGCGTCTTAAAAGAACAAGAAAATCTGAATGTTTTCCCACATTCCTTACATTCATAGGGTTTCTCTCCAGTGTGAGTTCGTTCATGTATTAGACAAGAACCGGAAACAGTGAACACTTTACCACATTGTTTACATTTATGGAGTTTTTCTCCTGTGTGAGTTCTCTGATGTCTTTCAACTGAATTGAGAAAATAAAAAGCTTTCCCACATATTGTACATTTATAAGCTGGATTTCCACTGTGCATTATCTTGTGTCTTCTAGCACCTGGAACAGAAACGGAGAGTTTCCCACACTGTTCACATTTATATTGCTTCTCTCCATATGGTTTGTATCCTGAGCGAGCTAGGAGTGCCTGTTAAGAAGGGAATGACGTACAAAGACTTTTCCACAAATACTGCATTCACATTGCTTTAATCCAGTAGAAATGTTCTCATTCAGATCAAGATTTGGAATTTGGCTGACAACTTGTCCATACTGACTACCTTCTTTGCTTTCACACAGTCTCTGTAACATATGATTTCTGTAAAAAAATGACAAGCACATTATTATTGGTTGGTTTAATAACTTTCTACTTATTAATAGGTCTTGGACTTACACTACTACCAATACCAGGGAAAATGCTTTTTTTTTTTTTTTTTTTTGCCATGACTGAATTATTTGAAAGTAAATGGCTTACTATTGAAAACACAGCTACCACCTGCATGGCTATGACCAAAATAGTAACATTCATATACACAATTTTGTAGTACTATTTTCAAGTAAACTGTTTTCCAAACACTGACTGCTACACTGAAGTACGTTAATTTTGGGTGACATTTTGCTAAAAAGAAATAAATTTCAAGTGATTCTTACTTGCTTTGATTGCTTGTTTTTAAGTTCATGACATACTAAGATTCCTTCAGAGGACTTTACTTCCTCTTCTCAGTGCAAATTATCTTATATCTTTCCCAGGTTTTTCGAAGTGATCTTCAATATTCTGGTCTTTTCATTTGTTTCCTAAAATGCAGACCCATAAAATTATCATGAATTATTACAAACTATAGAAACATTACTAGATTTAATGTTCATTGTACACGGTGCCCATGCCTGATTTATTCACCAAATCATTCCCTTGACACATTCCAAATCACAAATAGCACTGATGATAGGGAAATACTTCTGTCATTAAGTGAAATGTGTTGTCATTCTTACCTACAGAAGCCAGGTTCCTGCAGGTTTCCTGCATCACTTCTCTACAGAGATTCTTCTGAGAAGAATCTAGCAAAGTCCATTCCTCTTAAAGTTCACAGCCACATCCTCAAAAGCCATGGAGTCCTAGAACATTCCACACATATGGATAGAAGGATGGGTGAGACTGACAGCACTGGGAATCTATACTCAATTCATAAGCTGTTTACATGATTCTAAAATTTCCAAGCATTTATTCTATGACTTGATTGTCACAACTCTTACTCTGTTCACACATACTCCCTCCCACACAGCAGTACTAATGCTAGAATTGAACTATTCAAAAAGGCAACAGCAAAGTAGAAACACCCATCTCATTAGAGAATCCAGGGAGTAAGATGTGCTGCTAGGAGTTACCTTTTAACTTCACTTTGTACATTTCTAGTATCTGTCATAATAAAGTCCTACCTGATGTGCATAAGTGAGTTAATATTATCAGTCCTGAGACTACTTACCCTTAAAAATGCCTGCTCACAAAGTTCAATCTTTGTTTGTATTAGTAACTTACATTTTGAAAGGGATTCCACCAACCCAAGTAATAAGAATGACTCACTGCATCTAAATGGCTTATGCAATATATTTGCCAAAACTTTTTCTGCTGAAGGTCTATTATTTTGTGTCACTGCAGTGGTGCTTACGAACTAGACACCAAAACACAGTCTGAACACTAAGTGTTCAATGAGTTTCCCTGGTAGACAATATTTTACATGTGCTGTCACTTGTTAACTGGGGAGTTGAGCGCATTCCATGTGATTACACTGAGAGAATAGGCTTATTAAATTTAATTGAGTAGTAAATAAAACTAATAACTGATATTTAACAATACTAATACAACAATTTTTAAAATTTCTATTGCACAATGTCAAGGCAGAAAGGAATAAGAGGAAATATGGCACCTGTTTTTTAAAATGACATGAATGTCACCACTTCCAGATGCTACTCCTGTGAAATCACATAAATTCCCAAATCAGGTTGTTTTAGGCAAGAAAAACTACTTTTTCATATGTAAAAAAAATGACAAATGTCTAAGGATTTTTAGTCATCTAAAAAAAGAGTGATGGCTTGTCTTACGTACTTCTAAGATTTTCAAACGAAAATATTCAGGACAGCACAGTATTAGCAGAGAAATGAGCAAGCAGACCAAGGGAAAAAAAAGTCTTAATGACCCAGCATTTATATGGGAAGTTGATGAATGATAGAGTAGGCACTGTAGAAAAGAAAAAGAAATCACATGCACTTTAAAATATGAGGCAAACCAGGCTGGCATCTACTTGGGAAAATGCATTGCATTCTTCTCTATTCCATGAACCATAATCAACTTATTATATATTCAAATATGAAAGATAAAACCAGAACACTTTCAGAAGTCACAGGAAGATTTCTTTTCTTTTACGAAGGATTAGGCAGAATTTTTTTTATGTAAGAAAAAAGTGATAAAGGAACAGACAAACTCAAACATATTAAAATTTAGGGAATAAAAAGAAAATAGAGTGGGCCGGGCATGGTGGCTCACGCCTGTAATCCCAGCACCTTGGGAGGCTGAGGCGGGTGATCACCTGAAGTCAGAAGGTTGAGACCAGCCTGGCCAACATGGCAAAATCCCGTCTTTTTGTTGTTTGTTTGTTTTTTGAGAGGGAGTCTCGCATTGTCGCTTGGGCTGGGGTGCAGTGGCAAGATCTTGGCTCACTGCAACCTCCACCTCCCGGGTTCAAGCAATTCTCTTGCCTCAGCCTCCCAAGTAGCTGGGATTATAGGTGCCTGCCACCACACTCAGCTAATTTTTTTGTATTTTTAGTAGAGACAGGGTTTCACCATGTTGGCCAGGCTGCTCTGGAACTCCTGACCTCGTGATCCGCCCACCTTGGCCTCCCAAAGTGCTAGGATTACAGGCATGAGCCACCATGCCAGGCCTAAAACCCCGTGTTTACTAAAAATACAAAAATTAGCTGGGTGTGGTGGTGGGTGCCTATAATCCCAGTTACTTGGGAGGCTGACACAGGAGAATCACTTGAACCCGGGAGGCGGAGGTTGCAGTAAGCAGAGATGGCGCCACTGCACTCCAGCCGGGCTACAGAGCAAGACAGCGTCTCCAAAAAAAACAAAAAACACCACCAAAAAAACGCTCAGATATCCAGATGAGAGGATACAGATGTGTCCACTGTCATAAATTCTTCACCATGCTACAAGAGGGGAACTGACATTTTGGTGAATCTTTGTAAATCATCAATTTATCTATCACATTTTATTTCACCAGTAGCATTTACAAAGCTAAGTCCTACAATTCCATTTGAAATTACTCTTAAAAACAACAGACCTTTAAAACTTACTACACTCACTCTGGGGAAGAAATAAATATGATTTTTTAGCAAATAAAATACATCATTTTACCTTGCCTCTTTGGAAACAGTATTTTTATCTTTCAAGCTGTACTGAGAAAATGTATCTTACAGTCAATGAAAAACTGAAACTCAAATAAGCGGACAAGCCTTTTCAAGGTAACAAACTCAGGGAAAGGCAATGCTGACTCCAACACAGGCCTTTCTAAGTGTCACGGCAGGCCATTCTATCCCTCGGGACACCCATCCTGTTCAGTAAAGTACTGTTACCACCTAGAAGGCAATGGCACTGCTCCTTGTCCTCCTGTGTGCCTTAAGTGTATTTTAATATTCAGGTTCTTGCACATCTCTCTGGGCTGGGTTTTCCTTGGCCTTTGGGACAGTTTTTCTCTCTTCACAAGTCTGAGACAATCTAGAAAGCAGAAATCATTTCTGCCTTTTCCTCTCAGTATCAGCATCCAATTGGCAGACCATCAACATGTCTCCGAGGAATAAAAACTCGGGCTGGAGGAACAATTTTAATGACCTAACTTTAATGACATTACATTGTATTGTTCATTAATTTTAATGTCCTAAAATTTTAGTGACCCTAAGAGGTCACCATTTTAGATGAAACTATACCAGGAGATTCCTCTAAGGCCAAGAGCATCCAGCTGCTCCCCCGAGAGACTCTACCCCCTACCTCAGGCTGCCCTTGGGGATGAGATGACCCCGGGGCTGATACTCACTAGACACTCCAATAGACATGGCCACTGTGGGTATCCTGGGTCATCCCCAGACAGTTCTAAAACGCCAGGACTAGGAAAAGACAGGAGGGTGGCTGAGGACACAACACCCTGTAAAGTTTTCACGGGGGGACCTCAACCTAAAGACATTTTGGTAATATGTACACTTAGGAAAGATGAAGAGAGGCACAAAGATTTTTTTTTACAGTAGAGTGTCAGATGATTTATTCTCCGCTTTCCTCTCATGTAAAATGTTTGGAAACAGAAAACTTTTTTGGCCAAGGTGGCTCACGCCTGTAATCCCTGCGCTTTAGGAGGCCGAGGCGGGCGATCAATTAAGGCCAGGAGTTCGAAACCAACCTAGCCAACATGGCGAAGCCCTGTCTCTACTAAAAATACAAAAATTAGCTGGACATAGTGGTGGGCGCCAATAAGCCCAGCTACTTGGGAGGCTGAGGCAGGAGAATCGCTTGAACCCGGGAGTCTGAGGTTGCAGTGAGCTGAGACTGCACCATTGCACTCCAGCCTGGCGACAGGGCGAGACTCCGTCTCAAAAAATATATATCTATACACACATATATATACACATACATAAAATATGTACATATATATGTATATATATATGGTTTGCTTCCTCATTAACCTTATCAAAGCCTCTCATTTACGCCCCTCCTGTGGACCAAAAACCACAAACCATGACTGAGGTACCCGGTTTATGAATCGCCGTTTGCTCAAACACACCGTTTAACGTTTTAACAAAGCCTCAGGTTAATTTTAGGGGTAGAAAGGTGGCACTGGAAGTTCCATGAACCACAGCTCCTCCCACGCTGGAACCCCGCACACCGAGTCGGGGCTCTCCCGGATCACCCTCCCGTGGTCACCGCGCTACCTGGGTGGGGGAGGCGCGGGGTTCCCGAGAGGGCTCCGGCCAGCGGAAGTGGTGCCCACAGGTACAGACAGGACGCAGGGGTCCGGCTGCCCGCCCCGCTCGGCCCTGCACAGAAGGGGACTGAGGTCCGGCTGGGCCGCGGCGGCTGGGTCCGCAGGTTCCGCAGCAGATGGCTGGTTCCAGCAGGTTTCAACCAGCCCTCTTCCCCACTTCGGGAAGCTAGGCGCAGTCCACTCACCATTCCTCGGCTTCCCGGGTGTCCTGGCGTCAGCTAGGCATGTCCCAATACCCGCAGGTCAGAGGGTGGCAGAGGCTGCTGCAGAGCCACCTGGGCCTCCCAGAGCCAAAAAGCAGCAGCGGAGACTAACAGAAAGAGCCTACTGTGGCGAAGGCGAGACAAAGCGCCCGCCAGCCTGATTCCGGAAGACGCCCTCTCCTTTCCGGCGGCGCGCCTGATTGAATGGTCCCCACCCCAGCGCCCCTGACTATAGGCGGCTTCAGGCCCCACCCCCTCAGGCCCTGAGTGACAGGAGATTGCGATCTCACGTGAGGCTGGATGAGGCCAGAACCACCGTTTTGGCCTAGCGGTTTGTAGGGGGTGCGTCCTTCCTGCGCTGGGATCTGACCATGCAAGGAGGACATTCGCATTTAACCTTGTATACAAGGTTATAGCTATTTGTGTAATTGCAAGCAATATAGTGACAATTCTGTAACTGCCCAGTGGGTTCACCTTGCCCGCTACCTAGACAGAGCCGATTTCTCAAGAAGGGGGAATAGCAATAGAGAAAGAGTAATTCACGCAGAGTCGGCTGTGCCGGAGACCGGAGTTTTTTATTTTATTTTATTTTATTTTTCTGAAACAGAGTCTTGCTCTGTCGCCCAGAGTGCAGCCTCAGAGTTTTATGATTATTCAAATCAGTCTCCCTGAGCATTTGGGGATAAGAATACTTAGAAAGTCTATTTTGCCAAGGTTGGGGATGTTTGTGCATGACACAGCCTCAGGATGTCCTGATGACAGTTGCCCAAGGTGCTCAGAGCACAGCTTGGTTTTGTTGGAGATAAATGCTCGGTGCTGCAAAGCGAAACCACCACTCAAGCGAAAGTTTTCTCGGCAACGCAATTTACTTCTGCAGAAGCGTGCTGCTTGCATCAATCACAATGGCAAGAGCACACGGAACAAAGGAAAGCAGGGATTTTTATTCCTAACGCAATCCCTACCTCTGGCATGGGCTGGGGTCGGACCTCAAGCTCTAAACTGACCCGGTTGGTATTGGTGAATATTTTCTCAAATAACGAAGGGGGAAGGGGGATGTGAGTTACAATGGTGGGACATGTGGTTTCGAAGGGAGAAATGGGTGCAGAGCAGGTATTTGATTAGAACTGATGGGAAGGTTGTTTATTGATTAGAACTGATGGGAAGGTTAACTAAGGGCAAGGAGGAATGGAGAACAAGAAAGTTGAGTTCGAGAACAAAAAACAAGAACGTTAACATGCCAAACCTTGGAAGAGAAACTGTATCTGACAGTTTTATACATTATAGGGAGACAGGAGACATCAATCAACATATGTAAGATGAACACTGGTTTGATCAGGTACAACCTGAAGCAAAACTGGGTCAACCCGAAGCCAGGAAGGGGCTTCCAGGTCATAGGTAATTGAGAGAGGAACGGTTGCATTCTTGTGAATTTGCATGAGCCTTTCCAAAGGAGGCAATAAGACAAGCATTCTTCTCAGTGAGCAGGGGATGACTTTGAATAGAATGGGAGGCAGGTTTGCCCTAAGCAGTTCCCAGATTGACTTTTCCCTTTATCTTAGTGATTTGGGGGACCCAAAATATTTTCCTTTCCAATTTTCCCCTTTTGT